GGAGCCGCGCGGAGCGCAAGTGGGATCCCTTCAACATGGTTGAGCTGCGCGGGAAGAAGCTGGGCATCATTGGCTACGGCGACATTGGGCAGGCCACCGCCCGCCTTGCCACCGCGTTTGGGATGGAGGTGACGGGCGTGAGGCGGTCCGCACCCTCCGAGAAGAAGGACCAGCACGGCGTGCATATGGTGTACGGTGACGCCGAGCGGGACCGCGTGATCCGTGAGTCCGACTTCTTGGTCAATACCCTCCCAGGGACGGAGGAGACAAAGCTGTTCTTCAACAAGCAGCGCTTTGCCATGATGAAGCCGAGTGCAGTGTACATCAACATTGGCCGCGGCATCACGACGAGCGGGGAGGATCTCGCGCGTGCGCTTCGCGACGGCGTCATCCGCGGTGCTGCCGTGGACGTCTTCGAGCAGGAGCCACTTTCCACCGACTCCTCGCTGTGGGACATCAGTGATGACAAGATTCTTTTGACGGCCCACTCGGCGGACAGGAGCGTTGATCTGATTCCCTCCTCGGTGCGCCGTTTCATCGGCCTGGTGGAGGAGTACATCAAGACGAAGCAGCTCAATGCCTACCTCGTGGACCCTGTGCGCGGGTACTAGGAGGGTCAGAGGTAAGTCGCGGTTGCGATGCATATCTCCCGGGGCCTTGTATGGGCGTAAAACGTTTTTTTTTGTTTCCGAATTTCTTTTTTTGTTTTGTTTTTTCCGTTTTCCTTGTTTTTTTTACATGTAATTGTTACGTCCGATGAAAAACGAACTAAGATATAGACGAGGAATTTTTTAAATTTTTTTCTCTCACTTAAGGTTGACCGTTGTTTTCCTGGGAGAGGTGATTGTGTGAGGACAGTGTCTATCTCTCTCCTTTTCTATGATTCCTGTGCTCAACCGATTGGGAAGGAGGGGTGGTGAGAGAAAGCCGGCCATTGGTGCATTTGACCTTTTTTTAATTGGCTCAAACGTTATTGAGGGGTTTTGCTTCATTTGGATTGTTGCTGCTTCCTTTGGTGTTCTGGTCTTTGGGTTTCATGTGACCATCTTTGCTGTGTGATCTTTACTCTTGCGTTTCTTACTCAATGACGCATCAGGTTTCCATAGGGGGGAGAAGGAGGAGTGTTTTGTCTGCTGTGCGCAGTTGCACACACACACGCATACACACGCACAGAGACA